AGCCCCACGGAGCTCAGCATCGTTCAATCCGACTACAGCAGCACCAAACGTGGCAGCAGGGGCCACTCCAGCCGCGTAGATCTTGCCAATGCGACCCTTTTGGCGGGGCAAACGATCACGGCACCTTGTCAAAACTCTGTGCCGCGCGTGCATGCGCTTGCTACGATGCTTACGCTTCCAAATCGCGTTTCCAGCACTACGCCTTTCTGCCGCGCAGCCAGGTCCGCATCGAGTAGCACCGCGCTGTTGGTGACCGCGCCAGCCATGCCTCCAAGCAACTTGCCCAGTCTGCGTGCAAGGGGCTGCGAGCTGGCGAAGGTCGCAAGCGCATCTGCCTGCAGCTGGACACGCGGGCGGTTGCGAAAAAAAATGTACATGGCCGCCGCAGCCTTGCACATTCGATCTAAGACTTCGCCCTCCGACCCCCCGTCGGTCGCGAGAGAATCGTCATCTACGCAACTGCTTAAGGGGGCCAGCGGATGACCCATTGAAAACTGATCAAAGGCAACAACACTGTAAACCCTGACAAACAAATCATTGAATCTGCCACCCGCTGGTAAACCCGAACTACTGGGCCCCCAAGCGGAGCAGCCTCGGCCCTCTCCAAAAACTGCACGCGGTTTTAACGATTACGGGGTGAAAACCATGGGCCAGCGCACAAGTTTTTCAATGCTCCAGATTTAAACTCCCGGAATATTTGGTGCCGCCCAAACCCAACCCAACCGTATGCCCTCCAGCCTGGGCTGCCACCTCGGACCTGGCCGCCTGGTTCCACGCGGCATCCTCAGCGCTGCGGCCTGGCCCGAAAGCCCAAAACCTTCTGGGGTAATCTTCATGGAAGCGCAAAAGAGAGGGGCGCCCCAGCCTTTCCCACACTCGGACAGGCACATCACGCAGAAGGATGGGTCCAATCCGCCCTCTGGTTTCTCAAGCAGAGGAAAGAGACGCCAGCGCAATTGTTTCGGAACCAGCCCAACGCTTTCAACAGCCTGGTGAAAGGCCGCCAAAGTTTCAAGAGCCGCGCCCGACGCCAGAGACAGCTGTCGGGGATGGGCCCCGTCGAGAGATTGGGAGGCGAGGGTAGACAAGCCAGCGCTGGCTCTACGAATATCACCTGGTGAGGCTCTCGGTAAATGAACGCGATCAAGCGCGTCCACGAGGGCTGGCCTCTCCGATGCACGCCAAAAACGCGGAAAGGGTTCCGCGCCCGGCCGTCAGCAAGGCCCGGGGGTCACTCCACAAAAACGACCAGGGTAGGTTTCGACCGCAGTCGGGGCCCATTTCTGACGAAGCCTCATGAGCCCACGCATGGCCCGAGCCCCTCCTTTGAGCGCCTTCTCCTGCCATTCATCCCAGGTGTCCTGTCCGGCCTTCCAGAGGCCCTTGCGCGCGCCCGAGCGGTCGCCCCCCCGCGAGTCGAGGCAAGCTTGCAACTCCTGCACCCAGTCCCCGAGCGAGGACGGAGGCCAACGTTGCATGAGCTCTATGGCCTCGAGCCTGGCCGCAGTGCCCTCTCCAGGGCAGGGTTCGCTTAAAAGTTGTTGAACTTGCCGGGAGGTGTCAAGAGAAAAGCTCTCTCGACGAGAGTCCTCCGACGCGGTGCCCTGGGCGGCCATCAAAAGTCGCGAAGCGGAGCCCAGGGTCTCAGAAGCGCGCTGCGCCGACCAAACCCACCCGCGGCTAGTTAGCTCAGCGCGGACACTTTTAGCGCTGACAAAAATAGGGGGGGCACTTGGCCTGAGGCGTCTTACCTTCGAGACCTTTATCCTTGACCGGGGCCCCCAGAGACGACTCCAACTCCAACTCCAGACGGTTCGAGAAGGCCCGCCACGCTTCCGCGAGGAGTTCCCAAGCGAAACCAACGGGCTCGGTCTGCGCCGCCTGGGCAGCACATTCGGCAATGCCCCTCGCCACCGCCCAATCTTGGCGTCGGGGCTGGGGGCCAAATGGAAGCTCCACAGGGAGGCGCTGGCGGCTCCGAACACACAAGTTGATGGAGCCGACGTTAGCCTTCACATGCAACTGAACGGGGTGGCGCGGCCGTCCGCCCCATGCGCAGTCACACTCGGTCTTGGTAACAGCACGCGAGAAAGCCGCGCTACATTCGGACCGGCACAGGTTTCGCCCGGGGGAACGAAGAGCAGGGAACCAAGTCTACGCGCAAGGCCAGACGCTTCCACGAGGGCGGGGCCCAGGTTCCAACCCCCATCCACGCGCAAAGAGGTGGGTGTGCCCAAGAGATTGGCCAATCGCCCCGAGGTGGGAAACGTTCTTATCGCACAAGCCAGTCCCACTCCTCAGGTACACACACACAACCGACAACTCTGGCCAATCGGGAATGTCAACGATGACCTTCATGACTCTAGCAGGGGCAACAATGCCGCCCGAAGTGCGCCATCTTAGGCCGATGTGGCGGCGGACCATCACCGCGACGCCCCACTCGGGGCGACCTTTGGCCCCAGGAACCGAGGGGGGCGACAACGTTTTCCATCCGAGCGCCCCCACGGCCCCGCACTTCTCGCCAAAGGAGTCCTCCAAGAATCCCATTTCCTGAGCCAGAAAAATCGAAGCCGAACTGACCGCCTAGCGGTCTCTCCGGGTGCTCCAAGAATTGCCGCTATAGGATTCAAGAACTTCACCACAGCCAAGCGAACCTTCACAGTCGAGGTCAGGCCGAGGAGGAGTGGGTGGGGGGCTGCACCCTGCCTGCACAATTCAGAGGAAAGCCACGGCACCTTGGCCTCAGAGGTGGGTTACCCCAGGCGCTGGCGCTTGGCGAGGAACTCAGCGAGCTGCGTGTGGAAGGACCTCTTGTCGGCTCGCTATGCCAGCCAAAAGAAATTGTCCAGTTCTGGGTCGAGCCCATCATCACTAAGAACTGCATGCTCTTGGCCGTTGAGATCATCGCCGTCCTTTGCCTGCTCGCCCGTCCCAGATGCGCCGCGCCCTCCTGCTGCGGCCGCTGGTGGGGCTGAGTGATCAGGAGGACCGCAGCCCATGGAATCACCATCATCATGTGACACCCCCTTACAAGCTTTGACCTGTCTCTCCAAAACTTCTTGGTAGAACTTGAAGTGCTCGGAATAGAACAGCTCGTCCAGGTTTGCCTGCTCTGTCTCGTTCGCGGGCAAGCCCTCCATGTCCAACCCGATGTCATTTGTGGCCACCGATGAAGGAAGTGTCGCGACCAGCTCTGCACGAAGCTGCTCAACCTCCTTGGTGGCCAACGTATGTTGTGACTGTAAACTATCCAGCTTTTCTTGAGCCAGGCGTAGAACTTCGAGCTGCCCCAAGACCTGACTGCTGATCTTCTAAACTTTAGCCTCCGCCCCCTGCAAACTATGTCCGATGTCCTATGTGGACCGACAATAGCTTTCGAGCTTCCTGCAACTGTGCATCCAAGACTCCCTTAGCATCATCACTGCTGGGAACTTTCTCCACAGCTGCCTTTGCTTGTTCCAACTGTTTGATATTCCCCCGAAGCTGCATTTCTTTGCGTTCACTCTCACTCGGCTCTGGCTGCACACCATTGACGTTAGAACCATTGCGCAGAGTGCCACCACCATTGCCGTTACCAACACATTTGTCACATTTCTTCTGCAACTCGGCGAGCTGCTTGGAAAATGTCGCCGTCGTAGCTGAGCTGACGCGAGCGCCCCCACCACCAGGACGAGGCCGTAGACCTCCAGAAGGAACTCGTTGCATATGTTTCGCATTCTCTCGGGCTGCCTTCGCCACCCCCGCAGGGGCCTGCTTGCCGCAGCGGCAAACCAGGCGACTCGCCCAGTTCGTAGGCTGCCCGCACGAACGCGACCAGTAGGGTGTACGTGGTCCTGGAAGGACGTCACCCCCATCTGCCATGGAATGCTCCGCGGAGCGCGGAAAGAAGATGCCTCCTCGAGGAGCGCGATCGAGAGCCAGAATGACTCGCAGCAGCGACTGCCGCTCTGAAGACTGCTGCTGCAACCCCAAAAAGCTTGGGCCGGAACGGCTGAATCCAGGAGGAGGAGGAGGAGGAGGGGAAGGAGCCCGTGAGGCAAGCGCGAGGAGCGAAGGCAATCGCGCCTCGGGGTCTGCGTGCGGGGGCACCTCGCAGTTGCAAGCACTGTCTGGGCTCGCGGAGCCATAATGGCGGCTGCGCATGGCTCCTGGGACCCCCGCCCGTGCCAGGCTCTCTCTTTCCTGGCGGGCCGAGGGTTGTCCTCGAGAGCTGAGACCCCTGTTTGAGGGTGTAGGCGGGACTGCATAGCGGTCCGCCTCAGGTTAGGAACCAGAGGAACCAGAGGAGGAGCAGGAAGAAGAGGGAGGATGAGGAAGGAGGAAGGATGGAGGAGGAGAGGAGGAGGAGAGGAGGAGGAGGAGGAGGAGGAGGAGGAGGAGGAGGAGGAGGAGGAGGAGGAGGAGGAGGAGGAGGGGGAGGGAGAGGAGGCGGAGGAGAAGTGGCGACGCCTCGCCTTTGCTTCTGCCGGACGGGGCCTGGAGACGGCCCCCAGAGGCCGCAAGAGACGAGAAAACCTTGACGAATCCGGACCCTCGAGCCTGCCCCCCTTCCTGCTGGCCCGAACCATCGGGGGCGCGCAGACATGGATCTGCGATCCATGGATTTGGCGCGCGGTCGCCAAATCCATGCATCCGGGGTGGTGCCCTCCCCAAAATGCGGCCGGTGCCGGCTCGCTCGGCGGCGGAAATCCGCGATTTCCCATGGAAACGGGACCCGTCGCTAGTCCACGCCCCCTTGATCCATATTTGCGATCGCCTGAACCCAATGCTGGGCCAGCTCAGACCCCAGCTGGCTCCAAGGAAAACCGGAGCGTTCCCCCGCTGAGGCATCCCCCCCAACGTGGCCCCTGACAAGCCCACAATAGGAGCTTTTTTTCGAGCTCCACGCCCAGCGCCTCCTGAGTGCTTAATGGCGAACACTGACGGCAATTGACCGCACCAGGGGGCGGAGCGCAACAGAGTGGTGGAACGCACACTCAGACGGGCGGGCCGGGCAGCGCCTGCTGCCGCCTCCTGGGCTGCTCCACTGGGGCGGCACCCACGGCAGGGCTGGGCCCGCTCCTCTGCGAGGGCAGGCTGAGATCCTCTTCCTCCTCCTCCTCCTTCTCCTCCTCCTCCTCGTTATCGTGATCATGATGATGATCATGATGATGATCATGATCATGATCATGATCATCAGCTGCACCATCATCATCATCAGCAGCATCATCATCATCGTCATCAGCATCATCATCAGCATCATAATCCTCATCATCAGTATCAGTATCAGTATCAGTATCAGTATCAGTATCAGTATCATCATCATCATCATCATCATCATCATCATCATCATCATCATCATCATCATCATCATCATCATCATCATAATCGTCATCATCATAATCGTCATCATCATCATCATCGTCATCATCATCATCATCATCATCTTCATCATCATCATAAGCAGCAGCATCGTCATCATCATCATCATCAGCATCATCATCAACATAATCCTCATCATCATCATCATCATCATCGTCGTCATCATCAGCATCGTCATCATCATCATCACCATCGTCATCATCATCATCGTCATCATCAGCATCATCATCAGTTTACCATCATCATCCTCATGATCATGCATTATCAGCATCATGCATCACCCTCATCAGTTTATCAGCAGCATCATCAGTTTATCATCATCAGCATCATGCATCATCCTAATCCTCATCCTCATGATCATCCGCATCCTCGTCCATATCCTCATCATCATCATTATCATCATCAGTATCAGCATCAGCAGCATCATCATCATCGTCACCAGTGTCAGTATCGTTCCTATCAGCATCAGCATCATCAGCAGCAACATTCGCATCAGCATCATCATCAGCAGAAGCATCAGCAGCAGCAGCAGCAGCAACAGCAGCAGCATCGTCATCACAAACAGCATCACCTTCAGCAGCATCGTCATCGGCATCGGCATAGGCATAAACATCATCACCAGCATTGTTATCATCGTTGCCATCCTCATCCTCATCATCATCATCATCATCATCAGGATTAACAACATCAGCCGCAACAGCAGCAGCATCGTCATCACAATCATCATCATCATCATCATCAGCACCATCATCATTAGCAGCATCATCATGATCAGGATCAGGATCAGCATCAGCATCATCACAAGCGTCATAAGCAGCATCAACATCGACATTCTCATCGTCGTCAGCATCATAATCCTCGTGATCAGCATTAGCAGCATCAGCATCATGATCATAATCAGTATCGTCATCATCCGCATCAACATCTGCATCAGGATCATCATCATCATCAGCAGCAGCATCAGCGTCATCAGCATCGTCGGAGCATCACCATCATCAGTATCATCATCAGCAGCATCGTCGTCATCAGCATCAGCATCATCATTCATCATCATCATCATCATCATCATCATCAGCATCATCATCAGCATTATCAGCATCGTCAGCATCATCCTCCTCATCATCATCATCATCATCAGCATCATCATCGTCATTATAACAATCATCATTATCAGAACCATCATCATCATCATCATCATCATCATCATCATCATCATCAGCAGAATCATCATCAGCAGCAGCAGCAGGCAGCAGCAGGCAGCAGCAGCATGATCATCATCAGCAGCATCAGCATGATCATCATCACCATCATCATCACCATCATCATCACCATCACCATCACCATCACCATCACCATCACCATCATCATCATCATCATCATCATCATCATCATCATCATCATCATCATCATCATCATCATCATCATCATCATCATCATCATCATCATCATCATCATCATCACCATCATCATCATCATCATCATCATCATCATCATCATCATCATCATCATCATCATCATCATCATCATCATCATCATCATCATCATCGTCCGTAGCCATTTTGGCTCAAGCCTGGCTCGAACCCCCCTGGTGCGAGCATGGTGGCCGCGGATTGGACCTCGGGCGCCTCCTGGGGCGGCGCCTGGAGCAGAGCCACTGGGTGGGCAGGCCTGTGCCCGACGCTCGGCGGCCACGCTGTCGCGCAGGCTGCGTAGGGAGCGTGCGCGGGACGGAGACACGGCGGCGGCTGCAGCGATTGAAGCTGTGGCGGAGCTGGCTCCCCCGCAAGCCCTGGTGGCGGCCCTGGAGGATCGCCTCGTGCTGCTGCTGCCCCACAGGGCTGACGTCGCACTTGGCTGCCACATGCATCGCCTGGGCGATGCTCTGCGCGCGTTGGCCAAGACGCTAGACGTGGACATGGAAGTGCACTGGGGCATGGAGATCAAGGGCGACGTCGACAAGGCGAGGCACGAGCCGCTCGTGGCTGCGGACATCAAGGTGGAGGTCTGCGTCGCGAAACCCGCGCCAGAGCTCAGCGGCCAGGGGCGCTGGCTGGGAGTGCGACAGGCGCCTGGGCTGCGCCGCGATGCAGCGCCCTTTCACCCGCCTTCGTCCTGGACGCCGCTGCGGTCAGGCGCCCAGCCATACGTGCCGGAGTGGGCGCGGGCAGAGGTGCTGCTGACCGAGCTGGGCTTCTCGAGCCAGGAGGCGGAGCCGACTGCACACGCCGACGATCGCGCAGAGGGGGTCATCGAGGATGTGCTCGCTGACGACGCCAAGCTGAACGTGCTGGAGGCACACGTGTCGGGGACGGCGCGGGGGACGAGCAGCAGGAGCCCGAGGCCCTCGGGTTCGAGCTGGACGACGTGGAGGAGCACGTCGACAAGAAGTTGCAGAGCGAGGTGATGCTGGACGCCCGCATGATGCGCCACATCCTGGAGGTGGAGGCTCAGCTGCGCAGCTGGGAGGCGCTTTACAAGGTATTCGAGACAGGCCTGTTCGCGCGGGTCCGCAGCATGCTGGACAGGCTCGGGTTCGAGCCGCACGGCAGGCCTGCTGAGGGCGGCGCCCCGCCCGCGCGGAAATTGGCCGAGACCCCGCCCGACTCGGCCATCCCGCGCGCGGGCGCGGGCGTCGCGGCCGCGGAAGCTGCCAGGTCGTGCGACGGAGTGCGGGACGGCGACGCGTTGGAGCCTGACGTCCCCAGCCACAGCCTGCCTGCGAACTGCGACGGGGTGGTGGAGCGGCCGCCGTTCGATGTGGAGGGCGAGGAGGACGTGCCCCCGCCCCTGGTGGAAGGCGACCTCTTCTTCACCTACGACGACTTGGAGGCGATGGCCCTCACAGCCACAAGGCCGCTGGGCAGTGTGAAACGGCTGTGGGCCATCGCGTCGAGGCGGGTCGGGGACTCGCTACGCTGTTGCAGTTTGGGGTGTGTCTGCGCGGAAACCCTGGGAAGGGGGTCCAATGACCCCGTGGGTGAGTGAGAAATTGCGGTGGGCGCAAGCGTTTCGGATCCGACTGCCCTGGGATAGCGGGATCATCACCATCGTCAATCAGCATTATCAGCAGCTGCTTCATCATCACCATCACCATCACCATCACCATCACCATCATCATCATCATCATCATCATCATCATCATCATCATCATCATCATCATCATCATCATCATCATCATCATCATCACCATCATCGTCATCATCATCAGCAGCATCATCGCCTTCAGCATCATAATCATCATCGGCATCATCAGCATCATCATCATCATCATCATCATCATCATCATCATCATCATCATCATCATCGTCACCCTCCTCCTCCTCCTCCTCTTCCTCCTCCTCCTCCTTCTCCTCCTCCTCCTCCTCCTCCTCCTCCCCCTCCCCCTCTTCTTCCTTTTCAGACTCTGGATGGCTAGCCATAGAATCATTGAGATCGCCGATGGGACGAACGAGTACCGGTTTGTGCAATGAAGCAGCCACATCAAGAAACGCTAAGCCCGCCAACGTAGATGACTGTAATAAGGGCGGCTGCTGGACGGAGCAAGAAAGGCATACGAGCCCACGAGGGCTTTTAGGGGGAACGCCACTGGGATTATCCTGTCCTTCATCCTCATCCTGCTAATCCTGCTCCTCCTCCATCCTCCTCATCCTCCTTCATCCTCCTCATCCTCCTCCATCCTCCTCCTGCTAATCCTGCTCCACCCAGCATCCTCCCAGCCTCCTGCTCTGTCATCCTTCTCCGTAAAGGATCACTCTAGCTGTCTGGCCACCGAACATCATCCTTGACGTGTCGGATATGGCGGGCGAGGGCGCCTCGCCCGAGGCTTCCTCCCCGTGTGTGGCCCCGACGTGGAAAGTATCAATGAAATGCGGGTGGGGGGACTGAGGGGGGAGGCAAAATCTGGCTCTCGCCGAAGCGCCGTGCACATTCGTCTCAACAGTTCCCATCCTGACGATTGATTTGCCAACAGCGAGCAACAAGATGCAGATGCCGCCTCACCTCCAGCCTGGTTAACGAAGAGCGTCAAATAATTGTTCGGACGGAAGAGGGTCGTTAGGAAAATGTGGCTCTCGCCTGAGCGCCGCGCACTTTACTCTTGCAAGCCTCCAACAATTGCACACGGATGGAAGAGTTGATTTCGCAATGTGGCTCTCGCCTCTGCGCCGCGCACACTCGTCTGACAAGCGTCTGATTGTTGCTCGGATGGAAGAGGGGTCTCGAAATGACCTTAGCGCCGAGCCGCATTCGGAAGAAATGTCTCCTCCAACAGAGATACACAGATGAAGAGGGTAGGTTTCCAAATGTAGCTCTCGACGCACCGCCGACCGTCAGTCTCAAAGCCTCGAACGATTACACGGATGGGAAAAAGGCAGTCGTTTTCAGAATGCGGCTTTCTCATTGGCGCCGCGAGCAACCATCTTACGAGCTTCCCACGGTCACCCGCATAGAGCTAAGCTCTTTATCACAATGGGACTCTCCCCTGATGCCTCCTCAAGCTCTATGGCTCGAAACTGACATGAGCGTGAAGGCTACACGGACGGCGGGCGGCTCATTTTCAAAAGGGGGCTCTTGTAGGATTGTAGGAGACTTCCAAAAGTGTGCGATCAGATCGTCGTCGAAGATGCGCACCTGTTGCGCACACGGATGGAAGCCAGATCGCCTTCGAAGCGGGGTTGTCGCTGGATGCGTCCTTGAAC